TGGGGGAAATAAAGGTCAGAACGAAATGCAAGAGTTACTCCACCAAAGCAGTTACATATTCCTCTCTTGTGCATTTATATCAGCAAAAACAAATTACTGGAGATTGAATGTATTCTAGAAGATGCTATTGAAGTTTCTTAAGCTCAGTGATAACATAAAAAGCGCTGCTTCCTCAGCATGAGAGCTAGGAATTACTTTATCACAGCATCACAGAATGGCAAGGGTTGCAAGGGACCTCAGGAGATCAGCTAGTCCAACCCTCCTGATAAAGCAGGTTCACCTAGAGCAGGTTGCACAGGGCCGTAGGTCTTAAAGAAAAGCTAACTATGCTTGTCTTGAACAGTTATAGGCCAGTCCCAAGACAAAGCTCTTTGTTATTTGCAAGTGAAGCTGCAGTGAAGCTTAGTTATTACTTGCTGAGAGCATAATGTATATTATTATAATCAAAATATAAATACCCTGCCCTAAGTCCAACAAAGTCCAATAATTTGATACTTCTAAAGAAATCATACTCTTTCTAGATGAACAACTGACCCTTAAGGTAACATAAAAAGCTGAATGCATACTTGAGAATTATCATTATGTTGATGGATTCAAATTGATGTCAAACTATCCCCAAAACTAATCACATTTCATTCTTATGATAAATTAACTCATGCACACAATTTATCTTGTTTAATCTGGAGAGTCTCCCTTCAACACAGACACAGAAATGCCATATCATATTTACATAGCTTAGTCTAAAGATACTTTCAATATCAAACAAGAGACAGACTTGAAGTTAAAAACTTATTAAAGCATAACCACACTGCAGTACAATTAAAACTTATCTTTAATGTTGATGCAGATACTGAGCCACTATTGTCACAGCATGAAATCATTTTTTCTCTCCATATTATGAGTGCAAACATTAAGCTACTTTACAATCTTATGCTCTGAGCATTTGCACAAAAATCTAAAAAAATGCTCCAGTAGAACTGAAAACCGTTTAATTTTTCTAAATCATCTTTTAAGAATATTTGTCCTTCATGTTTCCTCTATGACCCCCTACCTCTCAGCCTCCCTGAACAATCCTGTAAAAATCAATGCATCAGCAGCAACCTCTTCATAAACTCCTCAGTTCCCCAGAGATCATTCCAGCAGGCACAGTAAATCAAATTGCAGCTTACACAAGGCATCGAAGCGTCACTGGAGTGGATGATGTATGTATTAAGGACCGTGAACATATGTAACAGTTAACAAGCCTTCAAATATCTAACACTTCTGCTTAGAGTGCTTTAAAAATGTAAAACAATGAATCCAAAACCTCCAGGTACTACCAGGTACAGCAAATGGTTTACTTAGCACATTGGTGGTTTAGGTGTCTTTGACCAAAGGTCTGACATTCCCAAACTCTAAACCAAGCACTTAGTTCAGTAGCATAAATTACTCCCATTTCTTCCATTATCATATGTTTTGCAAACTTTCTTGCATATGCCTCTGAAACCAAAACCACAGCAGTTCATTGTTCACAAGAATTTCAGTGAAGTTTCTTAAAAATAAATAGGATTACCTTGCCATAGTAAGAAATGGCTTCTTTATATTTATCTATGATGTCTTCAGGACTAAGGCAATTCTTGGCACGTCCTATCTCAGCACTGGTGTCTGCATTTATACCATTTGAAGTCAGTGCACCTAGAACAGAACAGGGTAAGAAATGAGCAGAAGGACTTTCAGCAAATACTAAATATCTACAAAGAAAACTAGGATATGCTGTAGCTTTGACTACACTTGCCCTACCTAGAAAGAAATCACACCCTACCTAGAAAACACTAGTTCTGTTTCACTATGCTATTTTAAAGAGTACAAATGAAAAATTGATTCAATCATAAACCAGCAAACAGGAAATAATCTTTTGCTTGGTAAAAAACAAAGATATTCATAATCTTTCAAACTTATCTGAGTATTTAGACTATGACTGAAATATTGTACTGCTAAAATTAGATTATGGCCACAGCTGAATATGCAATTTTAATCTTTGAATTATTCCTTGTTCTACTTAAAAATTGTATTTCTAAAGCACACCTAAGAAAAAAAAAAGTTCAATTTTTTTGTAAACTAATTATTAGAACAGTGACGCTCTCCAATCATTTAAAACAAATACTTCTCTCCCCGATTTCTAATCACAGAAAAGCAAGTGTTATATTGTAACAAAGGCCACAAAATCTGAGCTTTCCACATTAAAAAAAAAAAAAAAAAAAAAAATTACCTGAGGCCCAGACAAAACAGTAAGAAATTGGGTTTTTTATATAAGAAAGAAGGTGAGAGACAGAAAAATTCTTTACATACATAAGGGATAAGAATCTGAAATAGAAGGCAAGGAAATCCAGGGTATTATGAAGAACAGGAAAATTTTATCTCTAGAATTTAATTTTATTGCAGAGTTAACGTAATAAAATTGGAAACATATCAAAGGTTTGGCAAGGCTCTGTAACTTTTTAAGTGTTACTTAATCTGTAGGATTACACGCCTAAATTTATACAGCAATTTATTTCTCCAAGAGGTTTCTCTACTAAGATGGCAAAGAAATCTTTGTGTTTCAGAGATGGATCTAACTCTCAATAGATAGTTAAAAACTACTGTGAGAGATACTTTCTACTCCCTCTCTATTCAGAAATATGTTATTTTACATGCTCAAATGCTAAAGCAACTTTTTTGTATGTTTGTCAACCTTAAAGAATCATACCAAACACATCTGTGTATTAACACCTTAAGGTTTTTATGGATGTTATTTGTTAGTAATGATGGAAGGAATACCGTGACACTACAAGACTACATGTGACCATTCAGGTTTGTTGGTTAAAAAAATAAAAAAAAATAAAATAATTAAAAAAAAAAAATTAAAAATCCTCACTACTCATGAGAAGAAACAATCTCGATTAGAATTTACAGGGACACAATCACGGAACTACATCATTTATTTTGTGCCAGTTACCCTTCAGACTCTTTGCTTCCTGAAGATTTATAGCAAAAAAACAAAGCATCAGGAATCAGTATTAGTTTTGGCAAGTGGCAGTAATTATCTGTACAAATGCAAAACAAATGCAAGTAATAAAAAGGAAAGACACTGGAAACATGCATGAAAATAATGTACCTGGATCAATGAGAACTTCTTGTGCCCCTAAAAGGAGGAACAAAAATGGTTTTTTTTTTCAGCCTCAAATATAGCCAACAAAATAAGCTCTTACAATGTTTTATAACAGGCTTGAACAAAATTATGATATATATTAGGATCATCATTGCTATTTTGAAGGACTACCAATTATAATTCAAGTAGTCACTGTATGTTAAATCTCATTTTGTTAAAAAATAAATGTAAAAATCCTGTAAACTTGCAATGAATTCTAAGACACAACAAGAAGAATTTAAGAATTTTCAGTGTGTAATTTAAAGCCGTACCCTTTTTATCCTTTATTCCTGTGGGCAAGTTTCCATCACAATCCACTTATTGTATTTTAATATCAGGTCCTAAAGTGCTTAAACGTCCTTGTGGGAGCTCACTTAATCTACACAATACTGCAGGCATTCTCAAGTAATTGTACCCCTTTTAATTATCATTAATTTTACTCCGTCAATTTTTTCTGAATAATTGAGTCATGCCAACCCAACATGCCAGACTAGTCACATAAAATAGCTGTCAAGAGTATTGCAAAGTCGGACCATCAAATATGTAACACCTTGTTGCCCTAAACTTTGATTAACCATGGCAATAAAATTGTTAAGATCAAGGGTTAAGCAGTCAAAAGCAATTGCTTTATGAGCAAGACAGGACCTCCCTTCAGTTGATTTGCTCAGAACTATTCCCATCAAGAGTTTCAAAAGAAGTTGAAGGGTACACCAACAAAAACCAGACAATACTCTGATGGTTACAGATAGGTATGAAACACATTGCAATTCTGCTCAGTAGGGGGAAAAAAAACCACACCAATAAACCCCCCCCCCCTTTAGCACTGCCCTCTTAAGCTTGTGCTCTGTATTATACAAAGAGAGACAATATTAAAGCTTCCCTTTCCAAAGATGTTTCTATATAAAGCAGACACTACAACATGTTTTTGAGCAGCCAGGTCCTGTGCTATAGTCTAAAAATGCCAAATGGTGGAAATCACAGGAGATTCAAGAGAAAGATGTTTCTCTTGACCGGGTCTGGGCACAAAGGCAGTACCTAGAAACCCCATCCTGTCAAGGCTGAAGTACAGGCACAAGAAGAGGTGCAATTCCAGGCACATCAGGAAGCAATAAGGTAACTCTCACATCTATATGCCTCAAAAGTAGGCACAAATTGAATGTCAGTTCCAAGTATGAGCATTTATTGATTTGCACAGAATTTGGAAACCCCTTTTGTTTCTGGCCTTATCCTACAGAAAAATACACTGGAGTTTGTTCCCCAGATTAAATACTGTCTTCACAAAATTAATTATCACAAAGTAGATTATAAACAAAGGTGCAGTTTGAAAAGATTTTAAAGTGAAAGGCACTGCAGAGTCAAAAAAAGGTATTAAAAAGAAACTTTCAGAAAACCTTGTAGGAAAAAAGACATCACAGCAACAGCTGTTCGGCAAGACAGTATTCAGCAGTTCAGATCTCAAAGCAGTAAGACCTCATAACTAGAGTTAGGGACCAATACCTAATAAACCATGAAGTAACATTTTCATATGGAAGGGATGACAAAAAAAACTGTAATCAGTTTTTTTCACACAAAAGTCCTTTTAAAAATCTTGCCATATGAAGTTAAAAAACTTTTTTAGAATACAACCACACTAACAAGTTTGAAACAAGACTTTGAACTAGAAGACAACTTATATAGAGAAGCACCAGTAAAATACCCAAAATATATTTTATTCAATTATTCTGATAGCTGTGACTTATTTTTTACCTTCATTAGTAACAAGGATTACTCATTACAAACAAACAGATTGCAACACCTACTGTTAAATAATTGTAGAAAAGCAGACAAAGGTTAATAACTGTGTGAAATTATACCATAACAGCCAACATAAAATGTACTCACAGGTCATGGGACCATATGCACAGATTTTAATGACTAGATATTATACAAAAAAATCAGCATCCTCTCGTGAAATAAGGCAATTTTACTATCACAATTACCTGGTGTCAACATACACCGTTTGTAATAAAGAGAATACAAAGCAAGTGTTTACTGGATTGTGACTTTAGATGAATAAAGATAGGCGGTTGGGGTTTTTTAGATGAAGGAATTCATTTTGATCATGTTGCACATGAGAGTACTTAAACCCAGCTTCTATTTGTTTCAGTACTGTGTAAGAACTTAAGTATATACATAGAAACAGCTATGCTGGGTTAGACCAAAGGCCTGTCTAGCTCATAATTACCAATACATTTTTCTTTCACTACCCTAGCCCACCTCCTCTGGAAGCCATAGAAACTTTCAGGAACCTTAACACCATGTAGCTACTGTTAGGTTATAGGATTAAGGCTCATCTCCACAAATACAAAGGAGCACAGAGGAACAGCAACAGTCAGCTGAACCCCAATAACTTCATCAGAGCAAACAGAGCTGTCTGGGGGTGAAACCCATCAAGATGAGTTAACATGAGCAGCTCTCCGGTTCACCTTACAGTCGGGGCAGGGAGTTAATGCCTACAGGGATATGGGCCTCATTACAGGTTACAGGGAAAGAACGTCTTGGGATCGTACAAGATTTCTTACGGAAAGTGCAGGGGATGAACCAAAGGCAGGGAAAAGGAGAGATCAAAGCAGTTTAGGGAGGAACAAGCATGGTAAAATAGAGGGGCAAGGGGAGCGCGTGCACGCATGTAGGTCTAAGTATCAACAACTGGAATGGGGCTCTGGGTTTCAGAGGCCTGTAAGTCCAGGTGCCAGCAACTGGTGAGACCTGGCAACCCAGCAGCCAGCTACTGGACAGACTGAGTGACTAAAACCAGCTACTGGATGGATCTTTACTACTAACAGGCTTTCATACTAATCAGCCAGAGAGGGGAGCAGGATCAGGCTGTTAGTGCTGTCTGTGTTTGAGGGCTGTCTTCTGTCTGTGTTGGTCTGTGTGGCCCGCTGTGTGTACATACAGTGTGTGTGTATGCCTATTGGGAATGCCGGACCCGGGGACAGAGAGTTGCAGCAGCCTCGCTTCTATCTACCAGATCCAGTAACTCCTAACAAGGAGTTCAACATCATACCTATAAAACTGAATAAAGAACAATTCTTTCATCTGCTTTTCCATCTGCTAGCTGTATTGATGTCCTCTAGTTCTTCAGAAGAAGCACTGAACGCCTCTGGTCCCTATCCATCCTCTTCCACAACATTCACCGTACTAGAGAGCTCTCTCATATTTCTCCTCAGCCATCTCTTTGGCAGAACTGCAGAGTTCTAGGCTATTCAGTTATTCTTGTACAGAAACCATACCAAGATCATCTTTGTTGCCAATCTGCAACCTCCTTCCAGTAGAAAAATGGGAGGTAGGGAACATGAACACCCTTTTGAGCAGGGAAACTGAAATGGCATGCAATATTCCAGATGCAGATGAACTGTAGACTAAATGATATTTTCTATTTTTTTTCTCTCTGTTACTCTCCTAATAATTCCTAAAATAGTTTAAGCAGCGGGCCATTTCTCAAAGAATGTCTATCGTACCAACGCTAATACAATCATCGTATTAATTACTGAAAACTGAGTGTTTAGAAAAGCATACTAAATCTTAAAAATTACGTTGGTTTATTGATATTTAGTTAAGCAAACCTATTTATTAAATGTTTACTTCAGAATAGCAAAACACCTCTGAATAAATGTACCTAACTTCTTATTAATATGTGCAACTCTGTCACATCACATGTACTTTATGGAAACTGTCTGTATCTCCTCCGGCAGAATTCAAACACAGAGACTATTAACAATTAGATGAAGAGATCAAAAGCTCTGCAACTCTATGCAAAGCACACATGTTGACATTAATACCAAAGCAGTAGAAAAGTCATTCACGTAAAATCTTAAAAAGAAATACAGCTCTCCCCTCCCACCCACCTTTCCAGTTTATCCTGTCATCGGTATAATTTTACAGAGTTAGGAAGTAGGGAGGAAATTTTCAGATGTTCAGTGGTGACAAACAGAACAAAAATTAAATCCTGTCCTTACCTGGTCTGTGCCTGTTGCCTGCCTCAGCAGAAAAAGAACCTCCTTGTGCCCTGCGAGATCCAACTTTACCGCCAGTACCACCAGGATAATGATAGATGACTGATGCTGAGCATAACCCCTCAAGAGCAGCTGTAAAGAAGAAAGCCAACAGCTTAGTAGAGATACTTGCAAGAAGTGAAGTATCATGTAGTAAAGTCTATTTACACAAACATAAAGCATGTCTCAAATTGGAGACCTAGTGACAAAGGTCATGGAAAAGCCTGAGATACTCAACGTCCTTTCTATCTCTTTTTACCGGTAAGGTTTACTCTCAGACCTCCCAGCTCCCCAAGACTACTAGCAGAGTCTGTAGGAGTACGTACTAGCCACAGCAGAGGAAGACAAGACATATGAAGCACTTAATCCAACGGCATGCAACTCCACAAAACCAGGTAAGATGAATCCATAGAGAGCTGGCCAACGTGAGACCACTCTCTGATCACCTCCAACAGGTCATGACACTTGGGTGAGATTTCTAATGACTGGACAAAGGAAAACATCATAGCCTTCTTCAGAAAGGAGGTACCAGGGGTCTACAGGCAGATCAACGTCAGCTCCCTGGAAAGACTATAAAGAAATCCTTCTAGAAGCCGTTTCCAAGCACATGAAGGATAAACTGGAAACAGCACACATTATTTACCAAGGTTAAATCAGTCCTTGGCAACCTCACTGCCTCCTATGATGAGATGATTAGCTCAGTGGACAAAGGAACAGCAGTAGATGTTATAATATTTTGACTCTCACAAGACCTTTGGAAATGGTCTCCCATAGCATGCTGATAGACAAATTGGTAAGATTTGCATAGCTGGCCTATAAAGTAGGTGGGAAATAGTCTGGACAGCCAGGTTCCAAGGGTTGCGATCCTTGTAGGGCCAAGAATAACAGCAGCAGATTTAAACGCAGAGTAACTGCCACCAACAGTCACTCACAGAGGCTACCAGCTCCGGTGTAGGCACGTTCTGCAGTGGAGTGGGAGATCATAGCATACAGGGGGGTTTCCTGAGCCAGGGAAACCCCAAAGGAGTGCAGAGACCCACCAGGAGTCGGCAGCTCTCACAAGACTAGCTGACAAAGCCTGGGTGGGGACAGGAGTAATGGTGGCCACCCCCCACTCCCACAAAAGGCAGCCCTAGGGAGCACGAGTGACCGGGAGCGCTGCCAACAGGATGAACAAACAGGGCGTGGCATGGCAGCCAGGGTGTGGTGCAGCAGTTCCTGTGGGAGGGCACCTCTTCATAAGAGGGGCATTCCACTAGCCGGGTGGGAGACCTGAAGTACACATAACCCAGCAATGGGGCACCATTCTGTGACCATCTGCACAGGTCAAGGGCGCTTATCCTACCTGACCTTCAAGGCAGAATGGTGGGCACTTCTCTGAGAGCAAAGGCTGCAGCTCTGGCTGGGGGGTCTGCGCCATCTACCCCAGTGGTGGTCCGAGCCTCCACCCAGATAGAGCTGCTGAAGGGAGAGGCTGCAGTGCAGAGCTCAGACCTCAGAAGTACCCAGACCTTCCTCCTGGAGCAGGGGCAGGCAGCAGCCCTGCCTGCAAAAGGTGTGCCCAGGTGGAGGACCTCCTGCAGCAGGCGGTGAGAAGGCTGCATAACATCAGGGAGGCTGAGAAGGAGTTAGATAGCTGGTTCCAAGTGCAGTCTGCAGTGGGCCCACAGCCAAAAACTCCCCCACCAGCACACACAGATGGGAGGGGGGACAATAATGCAGAAGAATGGATAGTTGCAACAGCAAGGACCAGCAGGAGGAAGAGACTTCCCCCAAAGCCTAAGGTGCCCTTCCAGAACCACTTCACTGCTCTGCAGACTGAGGAAAGATCTGTCATACCAGGAAGAGATGCTGGAGCTGAGTAAGGCAGCCTGATCTGCTCCCCATATAACAACCAGCACAACCAAGAAAAGGCAACGGTGATAGTAGTAGGTGACTCTCCTGAGAGGTACAGAGGCATCCATTTGCCAGCCTGACGCATTCTCTAGAGAGGTATGCTGTTTACTGGGGACTCGTATCAGAGACATCACTGAGAGACTACCAAGCCTCGTGCAGTCCACTGACTATTATCTGCTGCTGTTGTTTCACCTGGGCACCAGTGATACAGCCAGGAGCAGGCTGAGGAGTATCAAGAAAGATTACAGAGCCCTGGGAGCAGTGGCAAGGACTCTGGAGCACAGGTAGTTTTTCATCAATCCTCCCGGTCAAAGGGGAAGGGTTTGAAAGGTCCAGTCAAATCCGGTGAATCAACAAATAGTTACAGGACTGGTGCCACAGCCAGGCTACTTAGACCATGGGTCTTGCTTTGAGAAACCTGGTCTACTGGGGGCTGATGGAGTCCATCTGCCAGAGAAGGGGAAGAGCATCTTCGGTTATAGGCTTGCCAAGTTGAAGACGGCTTTAAACTGAAGCTTCCGGGGGAGGGGAACCTCAATCCATCCCATTCCTACCAGTTTGATGCCAGTGCTAGCAACAGATACCCAGACCCTGGAGAAGGATCACAGGTTGGCAGGAGAGCACCTGAAGAGCAGCACAAAGGAATTCCAGCCGCTCCAGCCAGTAAGTCAGCTTCATTGGCGGCCCAACTTAAATGCCTCTATGCAAATGCACATAGCTTGGGGAATATACAAGAGGAGTTAGAGATGTGTGCGCACCTGCACGGCTACAATGTTACTGGCATCATGGAGATGTGGTGGGACAGCTCCTATGGCTGCAGTGTTGGAATGGAAGGACAGAGGCTCTTTAGGAAGGACAGGCAGGAGAGATGAGAAAGGGGTGTCACCCTCTATGTCAATGACCAGATGGGCCTTAAAATATTTTCATGGTCTGCACAAAGAGAAAAGTTCTCCTTTCCTGCTTGAAGAATCCTGAGCCATTTAACTTTTTGGAAGAGTAGAAAGAAAGAAGTGGAAGGTCAGAAGGTGTTAAGGTTTCCATAACAGGTAACCTACAGAGCCACTAGGAAGCTAAGTGGACTTCCAAGTAGAATGAGGAAGCTAAAAGCAGGACTGGAGACAGTGCTTGTCCTGAAAGGGTATGAAATTGAGAAGCAGAAATTGTACTGGAAGATCACTTGTACATCCAATAAAGAAAAAAAAAGCAGGAAAAAAAAACAGGAATGAAAAAAAGAAAAGTGTCCTGGTTTTGGCTGGGATAGAATTAATTTTCTTCCTAGTATAGCATAGCATTGTGTTTTGGATTTAGTACTAGAAGAATGTTGGTAACACACTGATATTTTAGTTGTTGCTAAGTAGTGCTTACACCAGTCAATGACTTTTCAGCTTCCCCTGTTCTGCCAGGTGCACAAGAAGCTGGGAGGGGGCACAGCCAGGACAGCTGACCCCAACTGGCCAAAGGGGTGTTCCATACCATATGACATCATGCTGGGGGAAGGAGTTGGCCAGGGGAGGGCAATCACTGCTCGAGGACACTGGGCATCAGTCACTGGGTGGTAAGCAATTGTACTGCACATCACTTGTTTTGTATATTCTATATATTCTATTATTATTATCCATTTCCTCTGCTGTTTTATTGAACTATCTTTATCTCAATCCATGGGTTTTACTTTTGTTTTCCAATTCTCTCTGCCATGCCACTGAGCGGGGGGGGGGAGTGAGCACATGGCTGTGTGTTGTTCAGCTGCATGCCAGGTTAAACCATGACAGAAAGGATGAAGGAAAAGGCAGAGAAAAAAAGTGAAGCCTAGGACCTAATGTAAAAGGAAGGAAGTTATGCCAGTGGAAGTTAAACACTCGTGGCTTTGGTAGATGTAAAGGCAAAAATCTTTTCCTAACAGTCCATAGCAGATACCCACAGGGAAGATTTTTAAAACACCTGTACAATCCACTGAAAAAAAAAAAAAAAAAAAAACAAACCAACATTTTCCAAAGAATCATTAAAAAGTCAGATGCAGAATTTTTTTTAAGTACATGCTTTACTACAGTAATGCATTTTACGTTGCAAGTTTTCTTAAACACGTGTCTTTCTCATGTCTTGTTAACTAATTTTTATTTCAACTTAATTCTTAATCACACCTGATATTCAGATTTTGGTCACCAAAATCACTCCTACTTTTCACAATACAGAAATCATAGAAGGTATTTTGATTCACTTGGTTATAACAACTGATTCACGATCACCACTTAATCCTACCTCCAAGCCACAGAAAGTCATTCACAGACCGCAGAAGTTCCACCGCCATGTGATAATGCACCAAGGAATCTTGTAACATGCCAGCTTGTAAACACAGGTCACCGACATGTTTCCGCATCCGGCCTTGACAACGCTTCTTATAGTGCCTGCAAAATAAAAAGTACATTTTACAGTTATTCACTTATTTCAGGTAACAAACACCTGAAGTCAATTATCTTTCCTCTTTAATAGTAGGTCAATATTAATTTACTCTCCTTATTGAGCAAACATCCAGTATGAATTCTAACCAGCATAATACGCAAAAGTAAAAGAACCAACAATTTGAAGATATATTGAAGAAAGCAATGCATCATGTATCTTGGCTACAAAGCATTTACGCAGACAGAGTCACAAAGTTAAAAGACTACACTTCAGAGCACCTTAATAGCCTTGTCACAAATGAAATAAAACAATCGTAGAATCTCACAGGTTGGAAGGGACCTCAAAAGATCCTCTGGTCCAACCTTTCATGGGAAGGGAAGCCTAGATGAGATTATCATGGAATCATAGAATGTTTTGGGTTGGAAGGGACCCCTAGAGGTCATCTAGTCCAACCCCCATCTAGCACCCCATCCAGTCACAGCTTGAAAACCTCCAAAGCAAGGTTCTTACAGTCCTCAATGGAATTTGGCTGCCTGTCCATAGCTGGTATGCTTCTTTTTTTAGCTTTTAAGGACACCCAAAAGCTCATTGTTAAGCCAGGGTGGTCTCTTGTTCTGCCTTCTTCCCTTCCCTCAGTAGGGAATGGACTGTTCTTGTGCTTCCAGGAGGCTGTTCTTGAAAACTCCCAGCACTCACAAGTTCCATTGCCTTCCATGAATACTTCCCATGGAATCCCTCACAGATGGGCTCCGAGCATACTGAATTTGGTTCTTCCAACATGCTGGGTCTTTGTCCTGCTACTGGTCTTCAGTGTGCTCAGCAGAATCTTCAACTCCATAACGTTATGATCACTGTATCCATGGCTATTGTTGGTACTTTTGTTGTCAAGTAAGCATTCTTGGTTTGTGAGCAGTAAATCTCGCACTGTGCTGTTCCTAATCAGCAGGTCCAGCATCTATAGCAGGAAACTGATGGACAACTTGTACACTGCTATGTTGCTTTCCCAGTAAATGTCCCTGTAATTGAAGTCACCCATGAGGAGCAAGTTCTGTTGGCCTGAGACTTCCTTAAGCAGCCAAAGTAAGGTTTCATCAGCCTTGTCATCCCGATTGGGAGGTTGGTAGCAGGCATCGGACATAAGATGTCCCTTGGTGATGACCCCTCTAATCTTGATCCAAAGGCATTCAATAGAACTTTCATGGCCTCCATAGCTCATTTGCACATATTCAAATTTCTCTTTCATGTGAAGTGCAACTCTGTCCCCTCTTCTTCCCTTTCTATCTTTCTGAAAGAGCTTGTAGCCATCCACTGTGGTCTTCCAGTCATGCGAGTATTCTGTGTTTCCTACAGCATCATAACTCTCAGACTGGGCACAGAGCTCCAGTTCCCCTCCTTTTTGTTGCCCAGGTGACTTGCATTGGTAGAAATGCACTTGAGGTCGCTGAACTTAGGATTCTTGCCGTTGGAGAGGGTTGGGGAGCATTCCTAACTACTCTTATAGGTGCACTCATCGACCCTGTTGCTTATGAATACGCAGGTGAAACAGTTTTGGACATTACCCCCCAAGTTCATTAGTTTAAGCATAATTCACTAAGTCAGCCAACCTGCTAGCAAAGATTCTCCTGCTTCTTCTCGGTCAGTGGATCCTATCCACAATAGGGTGTATTTATCGAAAATCTACATGTGATCATAGAAACCAAAGCCC